AGGCATCTACAACTGAAGCTATTACAACTCCTGAGGCAACAGAAGCATCTACGACTGTAGCAAATGTAGCTACTGAGACAACCGAGACTCCTACAACTGAATCAACTGAGACAACAGAGACTCCTACAACTAAAGCTACTGAGGCATCTACGACTGAAGCTATCACTACTTCCGAGGCAACAGAAGCTTCTTCGACTATAGCAATTGAAGTTACTGATACAACTGAGACTCCTATAACTGAAGCTACTGAGACAACCGAGACTTCTACAACTAAAGCTACCGAGGCATCTAAGAATGAAGCTATTACAACTTCTGAGGCAACAGAAGCATCTACGACTGTAGAAACTGAAGCTACTGAGACAACCGAGACTCCTACAACTAAAGCTACCGAGGCATCTACAACTGAAGCTATTACAACTTCTGAGGCAACAGAAGCATCTACAACTATAGCAACTGAAGCTACTGAGACAACCGAGACACCTACAACTAAAGTTACCGAGGCATCTACAACTGAAGCTATTACAACTTCTGAGGAAACAGAAGCATCTACAAGTATAGCAACTGAAGCTACTGAGACAACCGAGACACCTACAACTAAAGCTACCGAGGCATCTACAACTGAAGCTATTACAACTTCTGAGGCAACAGAAGCATCTACAACTCTAGCAACTGAAGCTACTGAGACAACAGAGACACCTACAACTAAAGCTACCGAGGCATCTACAACTGAAGCTATTACAACTTCTGAGGCAACAGAAGCATCTACAACTATAGCAACTGAAGCTACTGAGACAACCGAGACTCCTACAACTGAATCAACTGAGACAACCGAGACTCCTACAACTAAAGCTACCGAGGCATCTACGACTGAAGCTATCACTACTTCTGAGGCAACACAAGCTTCTTCGACTATAGCAATTGAAGCTACTAATACAACCGAGACTCCTATAACTGAAGCTACTGAGACAACCAAGACTTCTACAACTAAAGCTACCGAGGCATCTAAGAATGAAGCTATTAATACTTCTGAGGCAACAGAAGCATCTACAACTATAGCAACTGAAGCTTCTGAGACAACCGAGACTCCTACAAATAAAGCTACCGAGGCATCTACGACTGAAGCTATTACAACTTCTGAGGCAACAGAAGCATTTTCAACTGTAGAAACTGAAGCTACTGAGACAACCGAGACTCCTACAACTAAAGCTACCGAGGCATCTACAATTGAAGCTATTACAACTTCTGAGGCAACAGAAGCATCTACAACTATAGCAACTGAAGCTACTGAGACAACAGAGACACCTACAACTAAAGCTACCGAGGCATCTACAACTGAAGCTATTACAACTTCTGAGGCAACAGAAGCATTAACAACTATAGCAACTGAAGCTACTGAGACAACCGAGACTCCTACAACTAAAGCTACCGAGGCATCTACAACTGAAGCTATTACAACTTCTGAGGCAACAGAAGCAACTACAACTATAGCAATTGAAGCTACTGATACAACCGAGACTCTTATAACTGAAGCTACTGAGACAACCAAGACTTCTACAACTAAAGCTTCCGAGGCATCTAAGAATGAAGCTATTAATACTTCTGAGGCAACAGAAGCATCTACAACTATAGCAACTGAAGCTACTGAGACAACCGAGACTCCTACAAATAAAGCTACCGAGGCATCTACGACTGAAGCTATTATAACTTCTGAGGCAACAGAAGCATCTACGA